ACACTGACACACCTGCATATACACAGACACAGTGTATAGGTAAGTGTATTGGCTACAGTGCACAAACAGACACACTTCATCCCCAGCACACACACAGACACACGTCATCCCCAGCACACACACACAGACACACACTTCATCTCCAGCACACACACACACAGACACACACTTCATCCCCAGCACACCCACATAGAGACTCTACCATTGCAGAAGCGTATATATGGTGGGTTTTTATGGCGGGGGAGGCAGCATTTCATACTTGGATCCAGGCAGTACAAAGTCTTGGGCCGGCCCTGAGTAGAACCCAAACAAGCAACTCTTTCTCCAGGTGCTAGAAAGTGGGATTTGATCTTACAACCATATTAATATAGTTTGAAACAGATTAAATTTCACACATCTATTTATGTGAACGATCCAAAAGAAGATGAAAAACCTTATTTGAAAGAATTTCTAACTGTGTTATCTTCTTGACTCCGAAATGGAAATTAGATTCTCTTTGGATCAACAAGCTATTCTATCGTGTTAGGAATACAAATCCTCTAGTCCCCCCACCCTCACAAGGGCCCTGCCAGGTTGACTTGTTTCCCCCTCTGAAAACACTCCTCTGGGAAGGTGGAAGTAAAGCACTATGCAGAGCCCCATGCAACAGCGAAGATAAGCAGCAGGCCTTTCTGCTCCTTGCAGTACACATGGATGCTATCTGCCTCCAGGATGTGATGTCACTGTGTGTGTGTGTGTGGGTGTCACTGTGTAGGTCACTGCATAGGTCACTGTGTGTGTGTGTGTATGGGTCATTGTGCATTTTGGTCACCGTGTGTGGGTCACTTTGTGTGTGTTGGTCAATGTATGTGTGTGGGTGGGTCAATGTGTGTGCGTGTGGGTAACTGTGTGTGTGTGTGGTGCTAGCGCCAGCTAGGGAGTACAGAAACGGACATTGCTTTGTTCAGATGCTGGCACTCTAGCAATGAAGATATTGTGTTCACATCATGTAGGACGTTTTCCCTATTTGGGGAAGTATCTTCAAGTAAGGCAAATTAGCAAAGACAAAAAAGGAGAGCAGGTAGACCGGAGATTTGTATTGCTCCCAACTTGCCCCATTACAGTCTATAATTAATGTGGCAGTGAGGCTCATCTTTCTGTTCGCCTGCACCTGTCACACCTCCCCCCCTCTGTCAGTCCCTGCATTGGCTTCCCATAAGATATAGGGCTCAATTTAAAATTCTGGTTCTTGCTTACAAATGTCTACATAATGCTGCTCCAACCTAGCTATCCTCCCTAATACAAAAGTATGTCCTGCCTAGGCCCCTACACTCTGCCGAAGAACTACGTCTATCCTTTGTCCATACTCCCACCTCTGATGCTCACCTTCAAGACTTCTCAAGGGCCGCACCGTTCCTGTGGAACACCCTTCCCCTCTCTCTTAGACTTTCCCCAGTCTTCATTCCTTCAAAAAATCATTGAAAACTTACTTCTTCAGGAAAGCATATCAATTAAACTGTTAATAGCTTCCCCACACCCTGATTCCTCACCTACAACTGTCATTAAAAAGCAAACAAAACCACTAAGTCTTCAGTGAATACATTTCAACCAACCTGCTTATCTAACCCTACCTTTTGTGTCACTATACCCCACTCCCTCTAGCATGTAAGCTCATTGAGCAGGGCCCTCAACCCCTTTGTTCCTCTGCATCCAACTCTTCTGGTTACAAATTCGTGTCTATTAGTCCCCCCATTCTACAGCAATGCAGAATTTGTTGGCGCTCTATAAATAATAATAATTATTATAATAATAACAGAAGTTCGTGGCAGGTGAGTGTAGGTCAGATAAGCAGCACAGATTCCCTTTAAACATCAAGCAAAGAATTGTATTAATTGAGCAATAATTTTTTTGTATTATTATTAATATTGTTTTGCATGAGTTTAATGCCAAAGGGGTTTGGTTGGCCATTTTGTATTTTCCCAGCAACTTTTAAGGCTCTTGTAGTTGTATAGACATTGCACAAATATCGCCAAGAATAAAATTAAAAAACATGCATACACGTCATACATATTGTGTAAAGTTGGTAATCCTATTAGTGCTGCATTATTACTTGTGTAAAAACTTGCTGCCTACTCTATTCTATACACTCATTATTATATCTTCATAAACACATTAAACAAAAAGAAATGTTCTGCAAAGTTTTAGATTATTGTAAATGGAGTAAATGTGAAAATGAAATAATTATATTAATAACTCTTTATCATTAACATATATAAAGTCATATTTCTAGGCTGCAGATTAATTCCCAGTAACCATTAATGTTGATACCTTCAGCACTACAAAGGGATTTTCAAGAACATATGACTGCCATAATCTGTTTTTATATTCTGTATAGTGACATGTGAATTTATTTGATGTCAGTATACATAGCTAGCATTTGTTTTAATGAAAAAACTTTTTACAGAATAATGAATTTAACAAGCAGCAAGCAAGATTTTAAATAAATAAAAAATGTTATATGTAATATGTTGCCATTTCTTCAGCTTCGATTGTATGCTGCTGTCCTCCAAATTTCCTCATATATGAGGTCTGTTCGGAAAGTATCCAGCCATGTAATTTGAAAAATAGACACATTTATTGAAAAAGATACAAGATACAATTGAAGATTATGCTAGCATTAGTGTACTTATGAAAAAATATTTAACCAATCAAAAATGCAATAGGGAGTATATTATCCCAGTAAATAGGCTCCTCTTCCTCTTTCGGAAGCGACATCGAAAAACAGGGAAGTAGATCAGTAAATAAAGTCTGTAAACAAACACCAACAGTGGTCTCCAAAGGGAACGATGAACTTCATGGCATGAGCGGTAAACAGGCACCAACGGGTGAACGTCTGATAAGAACCATGGTCTTTATGTGATGAGCCGTAATCCAAGGGATATGCTGTAGATGCTCCACATTCTTACGAAATTAAACTGAAAGGAGAATATGAGAAGCTTAGGCACCGGTCTCGAAACTGGTGGTAGCAATGACAGTGATCCACTGTTAGTGATAACATTGAAATAATATTATCTACGAACTAAGTGTACAACATTACAGTAGTCTAACTGTCTGAGGATAACTGTGGTGAACTAGGTGTATAACGCTACAGTAGTCTAACTGGCTGAGGCTAACAGTGATGAAAATATACAAACATACAGGCTCGGGAAGAGCTAAAATCGAAAGTTAATGGAGAAGAAAACGTATATATATTAAATACAGCAGTTCCCCTCCTCTCCGGGTGGGAAGGGTGGGAAAATACTCGCCTCCTGTCATTATTAAAATTAAGATTATAAGTACACTAACGCTAGCATAATCTTCAATTTTACCACATGACAGGAGGCTTCTATTTTGCATTTTTAACGCTGTTGTATAAGAGGCATGGCCGCACAGGCGTTCGGGCGGAAATAGAAGGTGCAGAACATAGATTCTCTAGAACAGTCCGCGGAACGTAGGATATCCGATAGGGAGGCACCCGCCGCGAAGGGGCCGAGGATGACGCCGCTCCGCGTACTGAGTGGGCCCCGAAGGTAGCGTCCACGCCTGCTAGTGATAGGACCCAACGAAGCCATCTAGCTAGGGTGGTCGTCGTGATGGGAACGTGCTGTCAAAAAAAATTACACCAGGAGTTGACCCGAGGGCGAAGACCGAATCGGTATCGTAATTTCCACCTACCGTCGTAGGGTAGAAATGACACAGAGTTGTGGATCAGTGGGAAAAAAAGGGGTAGAACACACAATACACAAACCATGTCAAAAATATTTTGTATTAATAACTTTGAAATTTATTCATGAATTAATATTGATTTATGTTTTTCATATTTATGAATTATTCATGGAAAAAATCTATGAGTATTGAAATGTCTTTAAAGCACTGTCTCACCAATTTTGCATAATACAACATTTCTCATGCATTTCATTACAATGTTTCTGATTACAAAATTATTCAGTCATAAAAATGTACTTCACTGAACCAAATTATAACTATAAAAGTACATGAATTAAACGTTGATCTTAAATTACTTTTTGGCGAAGCAAATATCCAAAAAACTACTTTCCTATTCCACGGACTAATGCATAGGAATTTTACAAAATTATAATAGTTTTTTTTATTCAAAAATCCCTAAATGGATTGCATGCACACAAATAACTTTTAGCATGATGCAACATAATTGGTATGTATTTTTGCTTGCCAACAACCAGTTTAACCCCTTAAGGACCAAACTTCTGGAATAAAAGGGAATCATGCAGGCCCGAACTGGCCATCGTGCACACCGGGCAAATGCCCGGTGGGCCGCGTTGGCCATGGGCCGAGGCCGGCAGGGAGATCACAGGAGTGCAGTGTGTGTGTGTGTGTGCTGTGAGTGTTAGGGGTGCAGTGTGTGTG